GTCTGCCCTCTGCCGGCCAGGGCCTTCCTTCATTCTATGCCACTCCCTGGTGGTCAGTGTACATCATAGCGATCCATCGAACTCCTGGTCGGTCAAATTCCCCAGGGGGCACTTAGCATATTAGGCTTTTATATATATAGATGGCCTATTGCTAGGGAGAGGAATCCGGGTGTTGCTATGTTATTACCCGATGCCCATAGTCACTGTTTCTGGGCTGGGCTGGGCTGGGCTGTGGCCTGCATTTTGCACCATGGGGGTCTTGGCAGCATCGGCTGTGTGGGCTGTCACTCCAGGGTGGTGGCGGAGCCTGTGTTCCATTTTGGGGAAGCCAAGTGTTGCTTTGTGAGCACCAGGTCCGCACTGTCGTTTCTCTGTGTGCATCACGGCAGCCCCTGCACTGAGTGTCTGCCTCCTGGTGGTCAGTGCGCATCATAGTGACTGATCGGACTGTCGAACTCTTAGCATATTAGCCTTTTATATATATAAATGAGATGACACTCAGACCTTTTCATTCCACTCTCAGTATGTGTCCATCTCTCTGAGACCAATCACCTCGAGGATTCTGTCAAGATAATTTCCAAACTTTGAAGCTAAAACCAGGCCCCAGAGCACACTCCATGGGCTTCCTGATATCTGTCAGTCAGCCCAGCGAGAACGCACGGCAGCCCTTTCCAGCCCTAGTCGCATCCCTGTCTAAAACAGCGTGGACACTAGCTTCAGGCAGGTCAGTGAAAAGCAGAATCTTTGGAGGTGAGGCTAGGAGAGTGGCTATTCTTCAAGTTCTCCAAGAGACTCTAACAAGCTGCTGGAATTGAGAATCACTGGCTTTGTGTGTGTCTCTTTCTAAGATGAAGACAGAGCCCTCGATTCTGGAAACAATCTGAACAGTCTTCCAATCTCTGTTCTACTCAGCATTTGTAATAGTATTAGTACTGAGGGCCTAATAGTGCAAGCACCATGTTACGTACCATTATATACAGTATCTGAAAACTTAAAACAACCCTGGAAGATAGATGTCATTATCCCCATTTTTAATGTTTCATTTTCTTTTATAGCTAAGAAAACAGACTCAGAAAGGTTTAGTAACTTGACCAAAACTCATACAGCGGGCTAGCAAAGAAGCCATTCCTCACTCCAGGTCTATGATTCCAAAGCCCAGGCTTTCCCCTGATGCCATGTTGTCTCTTAGCCTTGAATGAGTATAAGAACGACGATGTGAATGCTCGCATTGGTAATGCTTCTTTCCAAAATGGCTCTCTAGGAATGGGGGCCGGGAGGACTGTTCCTCCAGAAGTTGATGTGAAGAAGGTAGCTGGCTGC